TCTATTGCCGGTAGAAATGATGCCTGCAACGGCAGAGTCTCTGCAGGCCGATAATTGCGCAAAACCATGGCAAGCTCTTGAACTGCAGAATCCTGCGCATTAGACTGCCCCCCAATATCAACACGGTCTAGTGCCTTGATGGTACCAGCCATAACTTGTGTCGCAGCGGCAGTGAATACCTCCGCTGTTGCACCCAAATTGAAGGCCAAAGGTGCTGCCGCACATAGTAGCCAGGTTGTCACAAGACATGCCATGTCGAAAACACCATACATGATCACGGCGCCTGTGAACAAGTAGTTGCGAATCTTGCTCACTGCCAAGATCTTCTTCAAGATGGGCAACACGGCCACCATCAGCAAGCAGCCCGTCTGGAACAGCTTTACTTTCCATCCAGACTTGACCTGAAGCCAAACAGAGCCACCAATTGCCAATGTCCACGGCCGGCGTTGCCGCATTGTTCTTGTTGGCTCATTATCCATTTTACTGAGAACAAGTTCGCGGAATCCATCCACAAGTGTACGCCAAGAAATCTGAGAGACTCTTATCACCATGCCAGCGAGGCGGTGCTTGAGACTACCCTTCCGCAACATCTTGAGGAGTGCTGGTTTCAATGTCTCTTCCTCTCTGTAGATCGATTCAAATGCTCGCTCCACGGCAAGAGCATTCAAGGCGGCAAGGCTGCCGGAACCAATCCCCCCAAACTCAATTCTGTCCCAAAGCGCAGGAGCAAACAACAGCCAATTCTGGGCCAAGTCCTGATCTCGGGGCAGCGTGTCATACTCCCACACTGAATCACTGCAATGGGCAGCACGCCAAAATTGATTTTCGACTTTCACGCCTGCTTCGGCATCTCCGCGAATGAATCGCTTATGCTCCCATGGAATCTTGTCTGCAAGCCTATCCAGGAGCTGAATCCTGTCCATCTGCGAGACATTTACACCATCCCTGCGAGTATCTCTCACAAAGAGTGATCGATTTGCAAGATCAGGAAACACCAGGACGGGAAGTACTCCCATAGTGGCAAACATCTGACATGTCGGGATTTCCATGAGGAGTCGGAGCGACAAAATGAAGCTCATCATAGCAAGCGGGAGACTCCTCCAAATCGAGTTCCTGAGCCGCAGCTTCTCCCAGTCGTGACAGTCCCTGCCCTTGACAACATCTGATCCATGTTTCCAAGCTAGATAAGGCGTGTCCAAGTCCACCGCAGCCATGCAGGCTTCCACATACAGGCCTTGCTCAAACAAGGTGAAGAAACCCAGCAGGCTGGTCACGATGATGCCCACCACGACCACCACCACTGGAGCAAGGAGCTCAATATCTGTGTCTGGTAAAAGCTGCCATGCCGCTCTGCCATTGTTCAGCAAGTCAGCCCAGCTTTTTAGCCAAGCCCATAGTAGCAAAACGATCTCGACAAAGCGGCGGGCCATCATGAACCCCTCCCTGGAAGACTCTCTCCGACTTGCTGCGGCCTGTTGTGGATGTGCTGGTGCAATCATCATGGGCACCCTGCTCACCAGAGGCCACACTTCCGCCTCAGGCCTGAAAGGCCCGTCCGGCTGGGGCTCTCGAACCATTATGGAAACCGCCTCGGCCATGGACCGAAAGCGGGCGAAACCTGTCTGCTTAGATCGTTCGTCACGACCACCTTGATTGGATGGCCGCTTTTCTAGGCTTGGGCCGCGTGCAGGAAAGGCGAAACTTGAATCCCACGTTCTCTGCAACACAAGCTTTGTACAGAAGTCGGGGTGAGAACGACATGCAAAGCAGGCGGCATGCCCCACATCAGCACCCGTCTACGTGCCGTGGGACCTCCTGAACCTCAACCCTAAACTCCTGAACCTTACAACACCCTAAACCCGTAACCCCTGAATAACCCTAAACCCT